TTTTTACATAGCAAGTGCTTATATAGCAGTTACTAGTTGTCATATTTACATCTGCTAACACATCTAATCCTCACAATAATCCTAAAAGTCAGATGCTTTTACTATCCTTATTTTCACCCATGAGGGATCAAAACCCAGATAAGTTATGTAACTTACTAACGGTTACACATCTAGTAAGTAAATGGTACAGCTGGGCTTTGAGTCCAAATAATTTAGCTCCAGATTCTGTTATTAACTTTCATAAGACAGTGCGTGTAATAGTAATCTGGAATCAAGAGAGAAAGAAGAATCTCATCACCATAACTTAAGAACATTTCTCATTCATGTTTTCTTTGTTATTATTATGCAAAAAAACATTTGCCTGGTTTTGTTTTTATTGTACTTCACTTTAAAAATCTTTAATATTAACCATAATAAGCATTTTTCTTTATGTTGCTACACATTTTTTATAACCTCGGGGTTTCTATCATCATGAGGTATCATCACTAATTATCCATAAAGATCACAGGATACACCATTAGCAGCATTTTTTTCTGCTATTAAAAATAATATGAAGAATAGTTTAATGCAAGCAGTATTTCCTTTCTTGTGGATTGTCCTCCTGTAAATGAGACCAGTTTGCCAAATGATGCAAATGCAGCTCTGGAACACATGTGGCCTAGCACTTGCTGCCTGGGAGGAGACAGTCTGGGGGTCCAAGGGCTGCACATCCATGTGACAAGCCCTCGGGCCACAGCCTTCACAAACAGGCCTCCTGGACCCAAGTCAACTCAAGTGTGCTCTGCCTGGGATAAGTCACCTTCTCTCCACCTTCTGCCAGTAAATCAGAGTTCCCCAGACTCCCCCAACATGACCGAAATCATCTGGGGTAGTCATGTTTGCCATGAAGGGCCCTTTCTGGGCCTCCCGCGAGGAGGGGAAGGTCTGATTCTTTGCTTTGATTTTTTTTAAAAAAAGTTTTGTACTTGAGAATGAGTCTTAATTATGTTTTTCTCTTTCTTTCTCTCCCTGCCCTACCTTTGCTCCCCACTATCTATCTTCCTGTCCTCATGCCTCTACCCATTGCTCCTCCCCAGGAAACCGCATGAGGCTCTGCAGAGTGTGCAAGCTCAAGCCAATGTCACAGTCTTGGGTGGTGCCTGGGGCTCTCCCGCAGGTGTAGTGCTCCCAGAGCCAGGCTCCATACAGCTGAGATTCTTGTTCTCAGCACCAGAAACACCAGAACCCTTGGTCTGCCCCTCTTAGCAAGTGAGCAATGATGTTGGAGAAGGTCATCTAAGGCATCAAGGGCCCTGGGGAAGGTTCTGGAACTCCAGGTCCTGGTCCCAATCCTGCCACAGTCTGAAGAGCTATTGTGAGCCAGGCCCAACCCCCATGACTTCAACCCCAGGAGGTCCCTTTAGTGCAGATAGTTGAGGATTTCACCATGACCTGTGGCACCTAGGGTTCCAGAAGCTTCTAAGTCTACTAGAATTCAGCATAATAAGACCGAAGGGTGGTCAATGAGGACTGCAGAGACTCAGTCATCCTCAAATATACCCCAATCCTGGCATTTAGCCACCAGCATCCAGTGACCCCCGAAGGAACCACTCGCTAACTTTCAGACATGATTCTACTGGAAAGAAGACCCAAACTGATACAAACAAACAAACAGCTAAAATCCATGATGCATCTTTGTTTTTTTGGTTTTTTTTTTTTTTTTTGAGAAAGTTGGTGATAGGGCCTGAAACACATCATTCCACTAAAACAAAACCGTCCTAAAGAACATGCAGGCCACCTCTCTATCACAGAACAACTTAGGTTGTGGGCAATAGGGACAGTAACCAGGTTCAACACCCCAAGATGCAAAGCCCAGCCCTGCCCAGGATTTTTCATGCAACTTGAGCATTACAGTCTCTTTTTTTTTGTATAAATGGAGATCACAGGACCTTCTCAGAGGGCAAGCACACAGGAGTAATGTCACTGCCTTCCCTGCTACAGTGATCACAAGGCTCAGAGCCGTGGCTCACAGGGGACAGATGGCTCAGGTTTAAGAGGCTTATTTCTCAGTAAAGCTCCCTTCTAATCAGATTCTCCCAGCAAGGTGAGAAGCCCCATCCCTGCATCACCCACAGGCACGGAGGACACGACCAGCCCACCTGATGTGAGAGTGATGGGCACAGGTCCCAGGTGCAGAATGTGGGGACAGCGGTCCCCGAGCACATTACAAGTCTTTATCTTGTCAAGGCCAGGATTTTCCCATCCCTTTCATAGATGCTTCTGGGCTCACTCACTCACACATTCAGCACCCCACTTCTGGGGTTGGCAGTGACTCGGTGCTGGGTTCTCAAGCTCAGAGATAAAGAGGGTCCTTTAACATCAGATAGGCAATCACCACTCCACCAAACTGTGAGCACCAGTGGGAAAATTGCAAGCTGGGTGCAAGAGGGGAGCGAAAAGATGGGAAGCTGACCCATGAATTGAGTTAGTGGGACGGAGAATCCAGCTAGAAGAAGAAGTATGCAGGTATGAGGTTTGTGTTGGGGGATGAGGAAGATGTGACGTGTGTTTACTGGGAGGGTATGTGTGCATGTGATACGGTGCATGCACTATGTGTGGTGTGTTGTGTGGTGTAGGTGTATGGTCTACACGTTTGTTGTGTAATGTATGTGGTGGGTATATAATGCATGGTGTGGTGTTTGTGTGTGTAGAGTGAAGAGTGTGTGTGTGTATGTGTGTGTGTGTGTGTGTGTGTGTACTTGTGGCCTATGGGTTGGGTTGGGTAGGAGCACACCAAGGGCTGGGCAGAAAGACTTGAGCGTTGGAGCAGAATTCAGCAACTGGACAACAATAGGGGGCCAAAGGGGAAGCGGAGGATCCAGCCTGGGGCACATAGAATGACAGGCCATCGGGGACCTGGGGTTTTCTCTCGAGAACAACAAAGAACTAGAAAAGTGTGTGAGCAGGAGAGAACACAGGTAAAGGAGATTGAATGCATTGGAGAGGATAAGGCATGGGGGGAAGGCGGGGGTGTCACTGAACATGGTGGGGTGGCCTTGGTGATGCATGAGCTGGGTGGCTGTGGGGACGAGTCAGACCCTCACCAGGCACTCCCTCCTTGGTAAGGCAGCTGCTTCACCTACCAGCAGTGGGAGCTGGTGGTCCCTGTATCCTTGTCCTTCCTTCTTCTCTTCTCTCCATGCCCACCCCTCCCTCCAGAAAAGAGGTAAAGAAAACACACACACACACACACACACACACGACTTAACGAATGTGCTTGAGTCAACTAAGAGAAATGACTCAAAAGTGAGCCTCTCCCAGAAACAGGCAGAGTGAGGAAACACCAGTCCTGGAGCGTCAGCCTCTTTGGTAATTTTGTGTGTGGGTATTTGTTAATGCTCACAAGTAAAAAGAAGACACAGCCTGGCCCTTGGGGGAAGAGGACACTTTCTCTTGAGGACAAGAACTGCCATGCTATGGCTCAGGGATGCTCACAGAGAAAGGGCACAAGGAAGAGGCCAGCTCCCAGGGACAGCTGACTTTCAGAGCAGCTGTGGGGAAAAGGGAACTCTCATACGTTGTTGGAAGGACTGAAAATTGGCAAATTGGTGCAACCCCCCCCCCCCCCGGAAAGCAGTATAGAGATTCCTCAGAAAATTAGGAATGAAACCACCATTTGACCCAGTTTTCGCACTCCTCAGCATATATCCAAATGATTTACAGTCAACATACTACAGTGACGCAGTCACATCAATGTTTATAGCTGCTCAGTTCCCAAGAGCTAAGTTATGGGACCAACCTAGGTGCCCTTCAACAGATGAACAGATAAAGAAATGTTGGTTTATATACACAATGGAATATTACTCAGCCATAAAGAAGAATGACTTTATGACATTTACAAGTAAATGGATGAATCTGGACACATAGTGTCCATCACTTCATGCTAAGTGAAATAAGCCAGTCCCCAAAAACCAAAGGTCAAATATTTTTGCTGATATGTGGAAACTAAACTACAATAAAATAGGGAAGGTGAAGAAGGAAAGTTTAGTATATTAGACAAAGAGGAATCAAAGAAAGGGAGGGGATAGGAATAGGAAAGATAGTAGAATAAATTTAACATAATTTTCCTAGATACACGTGTGAAAATTCTTAAGTGAATCCCACCATTGTGCCCACCCACAAGAATGGGGTCCTAACTAGAATAAGAATCATTCCATGCTTGTAAAATTCTATCAAAATGGATTCTGCTGACATGTATAACTAAGAAAAACCAAAAAATAAATAAATGCCGTGACTTGAAGGGGAGCTGAGGACCCTATACTTGCCCCACCTCTCCCTGTCCCCTCTGTCCTTTGCCCGAGCAGTAGAAAAACTTAGTTCTCAAAAGATATATTGAGTATCCAGGGAAGTCTTGTGCATAAGACTCTTCAAACATGGGGAGGAATCCTACACATCTGTAAATGACTTTAAACCAGTAAAGCTGGAGTTCTTATGTTGTCCCCATGGACTCCTCAAGGAATCTAGACATGTTCACAGGATACAGTGGGTAAAAGTACAGTCTCCATGGCAACAGAGTGAGTCCATGGTCCTTGAAGTGGGAAAGGGGCACCTGGGGTAGTTGATTGGTTTCCAAGATAGATTTGAGGTTCCAACGGTGCCTGTTTAAGCATCCACTGTGTGACATTGGGGGAGATCAGGAGGAGGCTTCCAGAACCTCAGGTTTCCCACCTGTAAAGTGAGGCTAAGACTGCTCATCACAACTCCCAGCTCATTCTGGGCAAATGATCAGGTAAGCCGCCTCCCAGAGCCCTGTAGAGACCATGCTCCAGCTGGCTAACATTCACACAGTGACTCCACTTACTGGGAACACCTAGGATATGGGTAGGTCCAGTGGTCTAGTTTGGTCTCCCTGACAGTGGGGAAAACTTGCCAGTTTATTAGCGGCCTGGGAGTATGAAGACAGCTTAGAGGCAGCTAGCAGATACACCATCAACAGCTCCAACCCTGGAAATGGGCTTTTGGTGCACAACTGCCATGTAAATTCAATTAAACTGCACAAACCCTCAGATTTGCAAAGTGTTAACCAGAAAGATAGGAGGCATCAAGCTGTGAGACGTCCACACTGGGGAGTTCCTTTCCACATCAGAACACAACCTTTTTTGCTTATTGCTTGTTCAGCTCACATTCAAATATTCCATGGATGTGCACAGTCATATGTGTGAGCCATAGTTTCTACCACTCCCTATTGTCTTTCACCCTGCCAGTTTCAAACATTTCCATTTCCTGCCTGGCTCAGAAGCATTACAACATATATCTCCTGGCTATTCTACTCTGACAATTTATGGAAGGATGGGAGAGCATGTCAAAGGCATGCAGAGGGTCAGTGGTTAACTAGAACCAGGAACTAAAACTCCTGACATTCTTAGAAGACTCTTCATTCACTTATTTCCTCATTCATTAAAGAAGTGAATGATTACTCCTTAAGGACTGCTATGGCTTTGATAAGTGTTGTCCAAAGATCCATGTGTTAAAGGTGTGGTCCCCAGCCTGCGGCACTATTGGGAGGTGGTAGAGCCTTTAAGAGGTGCGGCCTAGTCTTTAGGTTATCGGAGGCATGATCTCAGAGGGGGACCCCAGTCCATTCTTTCTTCCTCTCTCTTTCACTTCCTATGCAGGAGTGAGCCGTTTTGTTCCACTACCAGCTTCTGTCATGATGTACCTCCATAGACCCAGAGCAACAGGGCCAATGGATCATGGGCTAAAAGCTCTAAAACTGGGAGCCAAAACAAACCTTTACTGCTTATAAGTTGATTGCCTCCGAGATTTGTTGCAGTAGTAGAAGGCTGACTCACACAAGAAGAACCCACTGTGTCCAGGCCCTTTGCAGAGAGTAAAGCAACCTATGATTTAAACACAGCCTTTCTCTGAATGGTTCACAGCCCCCTGGAGGAGAAAAACAAGCAAACGATTACAATTCATTGTTCCAAGTGGTGACCAGTTCTTCTTGGGATGGGGGCATACTGGGGGAAGAAAACCCTCTGGAGAAACACATCTTCTTTGAAGTGTTCCCTACCAGGCTCAGCCATGCAGCAGACTTAGCTAGCTAAGAAGACATCTACAGGGTAGAACTAGGCAAAGTCTGCCTACCTGTGTGAATGTCATGTTCAAAGCACTACAACATTACAATCCAGAAGTCAGTCCATGAGCAAAATGATTACTGGGGCATCACTGAGTGCCAGGAAACAGTGCAGAGTACCTCCGTTAAGGGGATAGGCAGAGCCACAACAATGCGGAAGGGATCTAATCCTCATTCCAGAGGAAACTGAAACTGTCACCCTACACATGGCTTAGGAACAAGAGGGACAGGCAGAGGCTGACAATCTGCCAGACGGTCTCCCAGACTACTGGGGCAGAGTCAGAGACACTGCAGCAACTGTTTACCTACCCTTGCCGCCTCCTCCATCTGTGTGGTTGAATAGCTACAGCAGGTGCTCACCATCTTCTCAGCACTAGGGGGAGCCTAGAGAGTACCTGGTCCAACTTCTACATGCAGATGTGCATGCAGATGCTGGGCTGAGTGTTTACACATGGAGATAAGACAGGAACAAGTTTGTGATAAAACATAAACAAGTTTGCATGTGAATGGCATTATGTATGTTTATACAAACAGGTGTGAAAATGGGACTAGAA